ATGTTCTGGGATGAATGGGCTGACAGATCTCTACTGGAGGTTGAAGGAAGGGGGCTGGGGGAAGGGAGCTTTTATTATCCTGTGCACTTACAACAGGGACAATCCCCCTTGAGCAACCTGAGGTTAAATGGATTTCTCAAGGGACCTTAATTAATGGTAGTTGAGCTCAGAGTGTCATATTAATGGATCCCTTTCAAATATCTGAACACAGTATAAAAACACAGATCTTTAACCACCCACAAGGTGTACATTTCTACTCTACTGGCCAAATCCTGTCTGCCTGTGGTTCTTTGGCATGCATTCCCATTCTAACTAAAGGGCTCATCTTGCAGAAAGGCAATGAGAGGTGAAGTGCAGGTCAGACCAGAGTCATATCCAGCCTGGCTCAATATAAATTAATGTGTGTAATTAGAAGAGTGGAGCATGAGTCTGCATTAGGATGTAGTAGGGCCCTTTCATAAATGCTTATATTCAACACAAACGACATTTTGAGTGGAAACAACACACTTCCATGGAGCTACACACAAAGGACCAGAGGGGCCTGGCACCCCCTAGCGACTTTAAGATTTTTTACAAATTTTTATTATTATTTATTTTAAGTAATAATATTTTCAGCTTAAAATAAAATATAAAATATACATACAATATAGTTATTTTAATACATTTTAAATATTTATTTAGTAAATAAAGTAATAAATGAAATCAAACTTACTAATGCCTCCCAATCTCATTAGGGTAAGAGGTTGTGGCGTGACGAATTTGCATTTTGGCGGATAATAGCCTATAGTATACTGTGTGCCCATTGCATTGCATGAATGGGTATTCAGTGTTTTTACAATGTACAACAACTGCAGAGAAACATCAACCTAACCCAAATAAAGTCAGATGAAGATGCCGATGCTGATGCCATGCTTGATGACTCCAGACCTGGACAATCTTTTAAAGGTGATCTGCAGGACGATCCGTTGTAGCGGCTCTGTGTTCTACTTTTATGTCAGGAAAAGGACTATTTACATCCATTTGTTATTTGATTTGCACAAAACAAAACCTAGACATAGATTTTACAATATAAACTGCTGAATCATCCATTTTCAGTAAGATTTACTAAATAGGCTATGCAGTGTTAGCGGGCCTTATCATAGTAAAAACACTTACAATAGAAAAGCTAAAATGTATTTTAAAGTGTGAATGACCAAATTGCTTGGTTATTTAGCACATTGTTTGCATAAAATATGCAAACATTCACACTTCTGCCGTGCATGATACAAATAAATTATTAATATTTTGTCTATATTATGCACATATTCACACGTGTATTAGTTTGCTCCATCAACATTCATTTGCCACGTTTTACATTTGCATTTTTGCAAAGTTAATGCCCTCACACTCACTGATCACTATCCCCTCTCCACTTGCGAGTTTTGCACATTTCTTCTGAAAATTGCAGCCACAACATAGTAAACAAACTGCTGCTTTTGTTCTGTTGCTAAATGTGTCCGTTCACATTCAACTTTAGTGCCACTTTCCAATGTTCTTTTGTACTTTACATTGTTCTGTGGTATTGTACTGTACCATGCGGTTTGCAAACATACATGTATTGTAGTCCTAACTATCTGTGTAATCTTATCTAATCTTTTCTTATTTAAATCTTACTTAGTTTAATTATCAGTTGTAGTTTTTATTTTAGTTATTTTTCATTCATTTAGTTTATTTAATCTAATTTAGTCAGTATAGTCTAGTTCAGTCTCATAGTCCTGTGTTGATTTTATGTACTGTAGCATCATGATCTTGGAGGAACTTTGTTTCATTTCACCATGTACAAGCTGCATATTTCTGAAATGACAATAAAGCCATTCTGTCTCTGAAAATCAAATACGTTTTTACCAAATAAAAAGTACAGCTACAAAAACATGAAAAGTGTAACACTTACTGTGTGTATGTATTGAACAGATTCAGATGCTGATGCTCCCATGGTTCTTCACCTTTTCTTACTAGTCTTTACAACTGACGCACAAATGAAATGGTTATCTTGTCTGATTAGGTAAATGCATTGACTGTAATGTAATTATCTCAAGTGATAACATACACATTTTCTCCTATTTTTTAAGATGGAGTTATTAAAGTTATTTATACGATAAATTTTCAAATATCAGCACATATAACTAAAAACCTATTCTGAACAATAAGTGTTTTTCTGTGAGTATTTAGAGTTTGTCTTCAAAGAGCAAGTTTATACATTAATTGTCTTGTTCACAGGTGTGTTTCACATATTCTACTATGTATTGCATAATATGTACCAGTTTTACAGTTTTTTCGCTATTGTTTCAAAATCATCTAAGCAGCCTCTTTTCACTTTACACTGCAATATATATATATATATATATATATATAAAAGTTACTCATCTTTGCTTAAATGAATAGCTCGAAAGTCCATACCCTGTTGTGCTCTCGCGCTAAAATTCACCAACATGTTTGTTTGGAACTATTTTGAATGGTGCTTGATTTGTGCACACTTCTTTCCTGATTCAGAAGAGACAACTTTTTCACTGGAGAAACCAATATTATGGTAGAGGACGCATTTGAAGTTAAAAACGTCTTAATGGTGGATTTTTTTCTTACAAACATGCAACTTTTAATTTCACAAAACATGAACTTACGAATTATTGTGATGTTTTTAATCAGCTGTTTGGACTCTCATTCTGACGGCACCCATTCACTACCGGAGGATCCATTGGTGAGCAAGAGATTTCTACTAATTTGTTCAGATGAAGAAACAAACTCATCTATATATCAGATATCCTGAGGGTGAGTACGTTTTTTGGGTGAACTAGTCCTTTAATCTCATTCTATACATGCAAATTTGTTATTTATCACATTCTATGACAGAATGCACTACTAAAAAATACTTTCAACTTCAGAACTGGTTTTACATTAATCCTAGGGTGAAAAGAATTGATTTGAAAGGCTATATTCTAGCTTCACTCAATGCAGTGCTAGCATCACAGAAACACTGCATGCATCTAGGACTGAAATTTCTGCCTTTTCTTTACAGAAATGTATTGTATGACTTCTAAAGCACAAAAGAAAAAACAGACCACATTTAAGATATGTTTATGGTGCGTTTGTGTTCTTTTTGAAGCTCCAATACCCATTCACAGTAAGTGCATATAAGTCTTTAGAATTTCTTTTGTTGCGGTCTACAGAAAAAAAATCTATCATACTGGTTTGTAATGACATGAGGGTGATTTTGGACAACCTATTTCTTTAAGTCAATACTATGAAAAACAGTTATTATTATTTTTAAAAAAAATTCCCCCAGTAAGTTATTCTGCAATGATGCAAAAATGCCCATTTGTCCAGAATTATGAACTGTTGTATTAGTGGGGTTAAGCATGACCTATGGCAGCACTTTGATTGAGGTTTTGACATTTAGAATAATGTAGTATGATGGAAAATTCCCTGGGCCCTGAATCACAACCATGCTTCAAAGATTACATAAGGTTCTCTTTACCAATCATGTCACCAAACAACTCATTTGCCAGTGTAAATTGTTTTATTTTTTATTTTTATTTTTTTTTTGAGAACAAGTTTCTTCCTTGCTGACCTTGCCGTCTCTTTCTAATGGTTGAAAGGTGCACTTTCACCTTTCACATGCCTATGGATCCTTTGCTCTTAGGGCAAAATTGGTTGGATGATCTGGCCTGCACAGATTGTCAGTGGTCTGAACCCTTCTGTATATATTTTTATTCCAAGTGTAATTTGTGAAATTATGATGACACATAATTTAAAATGTTTATGGGGTGCCTTTTTTATTAATCCATATCATGCACTTTGCATATATTTCAAGAACTGTGGAGATTTGAGTTGTTAATGCTTTTGTAATGTAATGTAATGCTTCTCTTCAGTTTTGGTTGGGTAAGGGAGGTATCATAGTATTAACTGGTAATATGGTTAGGATATAGCCAGTGGTTTGATGACCAAAATCTATGTATTGGTCAGCACAGCATTGTTGCTGAAGAAGGGGTTTCCAGTAAGGAATGAAGGGAAAGTGTCTACAAAGAGCAAGATATGGTGATGTGTTGCTGTGATAGCTGATGGGGAAGTTGGATGAATAGTGCTGGGTTATGGTCTTGGCAGGATCTGAAGGATGAGAATGTGTACTGGGACAGATTGAAATGTGGGGGTGGGGTGAGTGGTACAAGAAAAAACAGTAGTTCTGCGGCAAAGGTTTTTTTTTCTGCAGGCACATCAGCACTGACAAAACCACTGAGGCATGATAATGAAAACGAGCAAAACATTTGCAAAATAATGAAAACTTGACCCCTAATCTGACCACTCTCATTACCTTCAGGCTGTGATTCTCATGCTACAAAGCAAGCAGGCACCACCAAGCACTCTCCTAACATGTTCTGGGTTTGGTTCATAAAGCTCTACTGCTCTAACAAAACAAAACAATCTGGTGCAAAGGATTCACAAAGTACCCACAGAATTATTATTTTCTTTAAAATGGCAGCCATTAACTTAGCATAAACCTATGGGACCCCTTGCGGTAGTGTCCTTTTTATGTCTAAAATGTTGGCAATAGCATAAAAAAGTGAGGAAGTGGGGACATCGAACCTGTGAGGTGTTGTTATCATACAAGCAAAACTGTATATGTGATTCAACACTTGTCACTAGTAACACTATCTTTCAAACGAGTTAAATTAAAGTGACTATGCACAGTGTACAGTAGGACAGTTTCTTGAACAACATTCTGGACACCCATTGAAACAGGACAAGACTTCACAAAGTAGACTTTGCTTAGAGAGTTTTTATCAGGCACTGAGAGGCTCAAAACCCACCACAGGTAAAGGAAGACTGAAAAAATAGGGCATGTCTGAATGACCAGACTGTTGTCTGGAACCACTTACAATCAGCTGTGAAAGGTGACCCCAGTTTGTGTGTATGTATTTGAACGAGTCAGTGCATGCAGAGTAGGTCAAAAACAAATGCAGCCTTACCTTATCTCTCCTAGCTGCTCTCAATGGAAAGAAACAAGAGAAGAGGAACTTCCCCCAGCTAATCACTGCTGCCAGACACCAGTTCAGCCTGGCCATGGTTGCCTTTTCTATCACACTTTTGCTTCCTTAAAATCACCCTTTCTATTCTGTGCTTATTCTCCAGGTAAATCCAATAGCAGAGAGCTGACGGGAGGAAAGATCCCTTTAGCTACAGAGCAAGTAGCAAGAATTAACCTACTCTTGCTTGCACACACGTTACCTTACTCAGTGGATGCTGCAGCATTCTGTCTGTCGAAGGAGGATGAGGAGGAAAGAGGGAGGGTGTGAGAGAAAAAAGCAGAGAGAGGGAGGGAGAGAGAGGAACATGCAGTAGGAAAAACTAGAAATAGCAGACAGGCAAGTTGCTTTTGATGAGGAGGAGGTAGAAAGGAAGAAAAAGGTTGGAGAAGAAACCGAATGTGTGTGAGAGAGGAATACGCTTTGAAGGAGAAAACATTTCAGTAATTAAAAGGATAAACAAACCATCACAATCTTAAAAAAGGAGATGTAAATAGAAGAGGAAGCAGGCTAGGTAAGATATAGAAAGAAAGGGGAAAAGAGAGAAAGGACACAAGAGGGAGAGTGAGTGAGGAAGCCAGAAATAAAGTGAATTTCAGTCTCTAAATTCAAAGCAGATAATGAGTGCATGTCATCAAGCTGCCTCACACGCATACATGCACACAGATGCACGCACGCAGTCTCACACGAGGCTGTACGCACAAGGGGAGATAAACAACGTGCCGTGTGCAACTGGATTTCTGTGGAAAGCATTTGTGTGTGTTTTCTTTTACCTCTATATGTGTGCCTGTGTAAATGCATGTGTGAGCTCTGTGCAATGCGCTCTCTGGTGTCAAGTGCTCATCCAACTGCAGGTGCACCGCACCACTGCAGAGTCGCCACGCTTCACTAACAAACGTACCCTCTCCGATCGTAACAAACATAACATACAAACGTAATTGTTCACTTGATTCAACAAGTTACAACAAATGTCTGGTTTACCGATACTTTAGCAGTCACTCATTACAAAGTCGAAAGTCTGACAACTGGGAAAGCCATGAGAGTGGGGAGCCGAAGATTCAATCAACCTGGCAGCTTAATGCTGCCTTCACGTGCTATCAGAATTATCGTAAATATGAGTTTCCTAATCGGAAATTAGACATGAACGCCTCTAAAGTCGTATTTACTACTGGGAAATTTGGAAATAATTTTGATACCAGAGTTTCCGAGTTGGGCGGGTCATAATCTTTAAACATGGTGAAGGGAACAACCGTTGCTGCTGTCAATGCTGTTCTCACAACAACTACATCCATTTGTCTTGTCGCTAAAGTAGTATATTTATAGGCTAGATATGAACGATCATTCAAAGCATATTGTATGTTTTATAAGCAGTGAAATAAGCATGTATTTGACTGAAATTCCAGAATTGTCATCAAACTGCATTTGTAGTGCGGTGAATGTTTAAGATAGTCAACCAATGGGATGCTACATTTTATTCTTTCCGACATCAAAGCACTTGAATACGACAAGCTCGTAATCACGAATTCATAAGTGGGAAATAGGAAATTTCCGATAGCACCTGAAGGCAGCATAAATACTGTGGCAATCACCCCTATCGCCAATCGAATCCATTTACATTTAGTCATTTAGCAGACGCTTTTATCCAAAGCGACTTACAAATGAGGACAATAAAAGTAGACAAAGCTAAAAAAAGAGCAACAATATATAAGTGCAAATGACAAGTCTCGGTTAGCCTAACGCAG